GTTGCCTTTTAAAAGGACAAATTCTATTTGTGGCGACTAACGTCGCCACTGAAAGTCAAATAGTCGCTTCCAAAAGGTCCGCATGCTTGGTCAATTGGAGACTATGCTGAGCTTTAGTGGCGACTATTTGACTTTCAGTGGCGACATTTCATGATTCATGGGATCATGATTTCATGAGGATCTCACACTTTATAAAAAATAATCCTATAACAACTAATAAGTGATCAATTGGAGAACATTTAGGCGATCATAAATAGTTCATAGAACAATTTAAAGATAACACATAGGCGATTTATAATTTTACCAAGATCTCCTATTTTATAAAAAATGGTCATTGTAAAACTAACACGCGATCAACCGGAGATCTCTGAGGCGATAGTAAATAATACATGTGTGATTTCTAGATAACACATAGACGATCTACGATTTCACCAATATCTCCTACTTTATAAAAATATGATTCTTATAATAACTAATAATCAATCAATCGGAGATCAATTAGGTGATCATAAATATTACATAGGCGATTTTTAGGTAAAACCATAGGCAATCTATGATTTCACCAAGATATCCCACTTTATAAAATCAATCTTGGTAATAACTAATACACGATCAACGAGAGATAACTTAGACAATCATTAGTAAAACATGGGCGATTTTTAGATAACACATAGGCGATCTATGGTTTCACCAATATCTCTCGTTTCATGAAAAAATAATTTTACTAATAACTAATAATCAATCAACTCGAGATTACTTAGGCGATCATAAATTATACATGAGCAATTTCTAAGTAACACCATATGCAATTTATGATTTCACCAGCATCTCCACCTTTATAAAAAATGATTATGGTAGTAACTAAAAAGCAATCAACCCGGAGGTAGTCACAAAGAATATATATATAAGTGATTTATAGATAATACATATGCGATCTATGATTTCACCAGGTTTTTCCACTTCATAAAAAATTGATCTTGGTAATAACTAATAAGAGATCAACCGCATATCACTTAGACGGTCATAAATAATACATGAGTGATTTCTAGATAATACATAGACGAGTGATAATTCCACCGGAATCTCACACTTTATAAAAATGATCATGATAATAAGAAATAAGCGATTAACTGGAGATCACTTAGGTGATCCATTATATCAGATTTCAAAAAGTCAGAAGTATTTTCATCTTTCCTATTTTACCTATTGAAACCAAAAAATAAAATATATAAATCAAATGTACATTCACTCAAATTGTCAATTATGAATCACTCTTAAGTTTCAAGTATGAATATGCAAGTATATATATTTATATTTAGCAAGTTTTGAAGATTTTGCTTGACACTTGCTGGAACAATATGGAGAATTGGTTCACACACTTGCTTCTGCACACTAAAAGATGTTAGGGAACTGAAATCACTACAATCAAATTGTTGAACTTAACAATCAAACTCAAGAGAGTAAAGATCACTAAAAAAGATTCTTTTAGAAATATGCTAAAAGATGGCCGCAAAGTGAAAATGGAAAAGAAGAAGCAACTAACATATAATGGCTAATTATGTATGAAATCATTACTTGTGATGCCCTTTTTGGCCTTGGTTAAAATCAAGTTATAAAATTATTGCTTGTTCAGTTCTTTATTAGTTGTCATTAGACAATTTTTTTTTTACTCTTCTCCATTAGTTTTATAATAGAAAATAAACATGCAATAGCCAAAGGAAAAATTTTACTTTGGATATTACAAAATTACGTTTCTATTTTTTTATTATTAATTTCAATAAGGTACACTTCAATATCCAGTTGAAAAATTTTACTTTGGATATTACAAAATTACTTTTCTAGTTTTTTATTATTAATTTCAATATGTGCTTCTTCTTTATAAGTTAATGGGACCCATAAGATCACTAACTAAAGTTTTTAAATCCAATTAGATATATAGAATTATATTTATCATTTAACTAATTCCCCCAAAAATTAGTATATTTGCGTTACAGCTTGTTTGGATGGTTGTTATCTATTGTATTGTATCGTATTGTTATTTTAAATACGATGTTTGTTTGATTGTTACTTAAATTTAATTGTGTCGTATCGTTAAATCTATCGTTACGTAAGGACGAAATATGTCACTTTATGTAACGGCTGATTTGGTGTGATCGCGTCGTTACCTTGTATTTTTCTCTCAATCTCACCCTTCATTATTATTAAATAATTTTATTTTATCATTTACCCTACCTTTTTATATACCGTATCATAATTTTTTTTATAATATTATAAGTTTATTCTTCATATTGCGGTGTATGATATTATAAAATGACGGCAAATAACACAATCTATCCAAATATTATATTTATCAAACGATACAATACAATATGATTGTGAAACAATAGTTAACAACCATCCAAACAATGCATTAGCGAAAAGACCAAACAATCGTTTTCAAGACGATAAGGAAAAAAAGCTGTGCCACGCTCTTTATCGACGGCCACTTCCGCCGGAGAATACATTATGAAGACCACCGTAGCCACCTCAATTTCTTCATTACTTCCACACCCAAAAATCCTCTTTAGCAAAAGAGTATTTATTCCATTGAAATTCTCAGACACAGCTTCATTTTCACGGGTAAAATTTCTAACTATAAATTGCAGCAATAGTAATAATATTAATAATAATAGCTCAGGAAATGGTGAAACGGGGAGTTTGAAGGATGCACTGACTGGTATTGTGGACGAAAGAGTAGAGGAACTTCTGAACAGAGAAGAAAACCGGGTTTTGCTTGATGGGTTGGAGAAAGCAACTCAAAGAGTAGAAATGGCTAAGAAAGAACTTGCCGATATTGAAAGACAAGAATTGGAAGTTAAATTGTTGAAGGATTATATAACTCAGCTTGAAACTACAACTTCTGAGGTCAGTTTTTTTTTTTCTTTTCAATTTAACTTTTGTATTCTAATACTACTATAGAAGACGGAGTTTTCTTAGACCTTGTATTTGTACTAGGAAATCCGTTAATTAATTTTATATATATATATATATATTTAATTATGAAATTAGTAACTAAGACGAGTTATAGGATCGGTATTGGCCATATAATAAAAGCAGATCTTGGTCCATGGAGTCCCAAGAGGGTAAGAACTCCAACCTGTCTGATACTTCTTCAGTTCGGCGGCAAATTCAGAACCCATAAATTTCAATACATTGGTGCTTGCATAAATCTCTTCATTGTCAGTGTATCATATGTTAAAATCCTTTTTCTCCCTTATTCCTCACTCTTAAATTTATGCTTTACTAGGTCTAGCTATTCTTGCATAATAATTTGATTGAATAACATGTGTGCAATTGACTAGCTAACTCTATGTACAAAGGAACAAGTGCATCATTGCTTTTAGGCACAGGAGCGAAGCGCATGCACTGAGCTTTTGAGCTTCAGGGTTTAAGCGCGCCTCAAATGAGCATTTGACAATATTAGTTGGCACTTCAACTCGGAAGCTTTAGAATAGACTGTAGATATAAATTCTATGTTTTTCGAGATCACAATGGATTTACTTGATTATGTGGGCGAAATAACTAATGCATCATCATAAGGGACTGCAAACAAACTGCTTACCAAGTTAAACTGGGTAAAGGGGACTCTCAAGCGACCTCAGTCCAATTTACGGAAATCTTGTTTTAGCACCTTGTATGCCCATATGGGATAAGATTGAGAGCTAGAAAGGAATTATATAGCTGACCACAACTACTTTGAAATTGACACATAGTTGAATGATTGATTGACATGTTTTAGCACCTTAAGTAGGGAGTGTGTTTCAAGTTTCCGAACGTCTTAAGAATAATGTTAGCATAGTTCATAGTCTTGCAGATGCTCTAAGAAGTCATTAAAGCTTTTCGAGAACAATTGTTGCTACATGCTATAGTTAAGATACTGATTGGTTGATGCAATTGAAGATTGCAGAATGCCAGAAAGATATTTCAGAAGCAAGAGCAATGATTGAAGAAGCTGAGCGCTCCCTCAGCGTTAGTGATGATGCTTCCAGGGGAACAGACGGAGATACAATAAATAGAGATGAGGAGAGAGTAGAATCCATAAAAGCAGCTTCAATTTCTGCAGTTGTTGGCACGCTTGCAGCGCTTCCCATTTCCTTAAGTCGAATCACCAGCTATTCGGAGCTAATACTCCCTCTTTCAATAACCTTTATTAGCTGTGCTTTGTTTGGTGTAACCTTTCGCTATGCTGTAAGAAGAGACTTGGACAATTTTCAGCTCAAGTCAGGGACATCCGCAGCATTTGGTTTTGTGAAAGGTATTATATCCTCATACTAAGTCACTGTACTGTGTCACTTTTCTCCTTCCATTGTCTTTGGTAATTCTCAACTTGTTTAGATTCGAGGGATGCTTGATTGACTGATTGATTACATTAAGAGTTCAATCAGCTGACAAAGGATGTTCTCAAGGTTATTGTTTCTTGGCTGCAACTAGTATGCTGATGCACACATATTCTAGTCCATTCAATTTGCTGTATTATCCTGGTCTTGCCAAAGAAAGTTTCCGCAATAATTTTGGTATTTATAAACTAAACATTCGATGTAGGCCTAGCTACACTTGGAGGTGGACCACCATTAGAGTTGGATGCTGGCAGCTTCTCGTCTCATGCTCTTGATGGCGCGGTCTATGTCTCTGAGAATCTTTTGATCTTTCTTTTTGCTGGTGTTGGCCTGGATTTATGCTTTAAGTTGAGGATTTTGAGCCCCTTTCCTATTGATAGATCAATTTCAGAAGCAGATAAAATTTAAACGCCTTGTTGCTTATTTATTATTTTTAAAAGTTGTATATGCAGTAAACTGAACTTATAGTCCTTAAATAGAATAATACTTGCGATTGTGTCCGTAAGCACCATCTCAAGGACAGTGAAATTGTGTCGACCGAAAGAAATTGATCAACCCAGCGTACCATGTCAAGGACAGTGAATGGACCCCCCTCCCCCCACAACACCCAAAAAACAAAATGAAGAGTCATAAAATCAGAAGGAATAAAATTGCACTTGAGTTCTTTTCCATCATTCAAATTATCAGGAATAGCTATCATTTGGATCCTTCCAAAGACAATGAAGTTAAATGAGCTTGTACTAATGTAATTCCTCTATTTTTTCATGGTATTTACAACATTGAAGCAATGAAGTTAAATGACCTATCTATCTTCCAAATTCCTAAGCAGGTTAGAGCATTGAGATTCTCCGAATGGAAAAGGCCTATGGAATGATCTCATCAATAGATGCCTATAGTCATCACTTGAACACCATACTACCTCCTGCTGGAGCCAGCTTCAGTCTAAATCCTGCAAGTATGAAAGAATATCTTGTCACTAAACGAAAACGTAAAAGTATATAAACCACAATAATCTGCCTCATTGCAGCATCTATCGCGCAACACTCGACGAATGAACATTTTGATATAATCCAAAATCGGAAGTGAGACCTCATAATCATCCAACCGAAAGCTCACTACAGCAGGTTTCCTAGCAGTAATCTTGGTCTTCTTTGATTGAGCCAAAGCTGTCTCTAGATCAGACTGTGACAATGGCCTTGGAGCCTGTAACATAAACAACAGATCAATCTTTGCTTAGATGAGGATTGTAATATATAGTGAAACTGTGAAATTGTAGACTTGCCAGAAGATTCTTAGTCACAACTAATCATCATTGAAGCAACACCATATCTAAAGTGATTAACATGTAAGAATAGGCTCCATTTAATATCAACCACATTAAGATAAAACATGACTGGGCAGTATGATTCCAGACATCTGCATTGCCTATATGAGAAGAGTTTTCCACTTCTCTGGCAGTTCCAATGATCAGAATGTAAAGTAAACCAAAAGATGAAATACAACTTTTCCGACCTCCGAATTATATCATATCTTCTGCCAAAATAACATTATTAAAAGTCAGTTTGACAGGCACACTCAAGGAGGCCGTTGCCACAGTACACCTGTACTTCCAGATCGGGGAGCAAATCATTAAAATGCACAGTTACCATGTGTATTTAGAAGTCATAGTCAATTGCACAAATATTTGATCTATGACGCGCATGCATAACCCCACGTATGCTGTTGCGGGAAAAGCAGATAATAACAATCAATTACAATAACAACTTGCGGAAGTATATAGCCACCTGTGATTGCTTTCCTTTCTTCTCATCGTGCAAATACTCCCTAAGAGGAATAAAGGCAGCTAGCTTGCAGGCCTCGAGAATGTCTGAACCAGTGTATCCCTCACACAAGCCAGCAAGTCGATCAAAGTCAACGTTATCTTCAATTCTCTCACCCTTCAAAACTACCTTAAATATCTTTGTTCTATCACTAAGGGAAGGCTTCCCAATTTCAAATGACTGAGAGAAGCGCCTAAGTATTGCCTCATCAAGGTCAGTTGGGCGATTGGTTGCTGCCAGGACCATAACTCTAGCATTCTCTGCAGAGAAGGGAAATTCATTCCTTTATCACTTACATATAGCATAGCATTCATGAAACATGTTGTATAAGGCCACATTTTCTGCAAGAAATTCATACAAAAACCACCAAGTAACAATGGGAAGCATGTCAAAATAAGATATAATTCCCTAACAAACTAAAGTGATAAAGCTACCAAGGCAGGGGCGGAACAACATTGCAGTGATCAGTGTGGCAAGACTGCTTCGCCTAATAATTTACCATACATGTATCTGTATGATCCTATTTAATTGAAAAGATGAGTATAAATTTTTAAACTGATTCTCCAACTAATATTAGTTGATTGATTGATACACTTTTTAGATTGGCTAAATACCAACCCCGGCACACTGGTAGAGAAGGTTCAGAAATAAAACTCTGGTCGCGTGTTCCACCTCCTTCCTGTCTTCTTCTTTTAAACAACACAGCTGTTCTTCTTATGTATATATTTAAGGTGAAAAACTATTTATGTATACATTATTTATAGAACAAAAACAGAAACAACTAAACAGCAATCCAAAGCAAGTTCCTTTATTAATGGATATAAGTAAACATCAATTTAAGCTCACTTCCCAAACAAGTTGGGGTAGGGGACGAGGTAGACCTAAAATCTCATGGGAACTAAGTTGTCTCGTAAGGCCTAGTATTTCTTGGGATCAGCGCAGACTTTGCTAAAGATAGGACACAATGGAAGAAAAAAATTCATATATGTGATATCTACTAGCGGGAGTACAATTTAGTCTTGTTAGAGAACTTCTAATATAATAATAATTATTATTATTATAATTATTATTACTATTATTTTTATATATTTAAATAAGTTCTCGCTTATTTTTATTTGGTACGATGATGACATGATCTGAGCTTAAATGGAGAAGTGAGAATTCACATACCCGACCCTAACTTGTTTGTGATACAGGCAAAGTTATTTTTTTTCTTGAAATGGTAATAGTGGTATTCATAACAGCACAAAGGTAGTGCTGGAATTTTCTGTACAACTGAGGAAAAAGCAAAAGTGTAGCCCTCTTCTAATCTTAGAGGGATACAGGAATTAAAGTTTCTGCCTCATTTGCATATTCCTTTTTACACAAAAGTGAAATAACAAGATACAATCTAATATTCCTGTGGACTGATTTTTGTTTGCCTTCAAAACATCTTGAGTTCCTTTCTCTCCAAATCACCCACCAGATACAAGCTGGAGTTGTATGCCACAGCTCTTTCTCACTTTGCCCAACCCTTGCCTATACCAACAACTTAAAAATCCTGTGAGTTCCCAGGCATTGACCACTTAATTCCATCAAAGTTGAGAAATAGCTGAATTGAGGCATAGTTATTGTTGTATAAGCAAACATCAATCTCAAGCTAGTTGAGGTCAGCTATGAATCCTCAAAATCCATTTCACTCCATATGGAGCTGTTTCACTCAATACTCAATAATTTGGAGTAAAAGATAATGCTAAGACCCTGGACACATAGTCGACCCAACCACACTATATAGATACCTCTAATAAGGAAAAAGGTAACAATGCTAAGAGCCATTAATCCACATTGACATTACCCTATCTAGCCCCCAACCTCAACCCCCTCCTTTCTAAAGCAAGTCAATTGTACTTGCTAGGATTCATTCCTTGGACATACTATGCCTAATGGTTATACAAACACTCCTTAAAATACAAGCTAATGTA